GTGACCTGTGTCCCTCTGGTTCCTGCTGCTTCTCCTCTGAGTCCCCTCCTTTCCATGTTCTTTCTGTCTACGATGGCCAAAGCTAACGTGAGAAGAACAGGGTCTTCAAGACCAACGCGGCATCCTCTGCCCCATCCTTTAGCACGGCATCACTGTAGATGGCAACCCAGAAACCTACTAGTCAAGACAGCTGTATTCTGCTCTTTTAAAATTCTGTAAATAATGATTGCACTTCTTACTTCATGTGCTACTGTTTCTACTTTGGTGCAGTTTTGTGTGTCTTGCTTGAGTTCAGTTCAGTAGAATGTTCAAATTAGGAACCAGGTAATAACAATATATAAACTGTAGTTTGAAGCAATTTCGTTTTCTTTAAGAAACTGAAGATGGTATATTGGAGTAAAATAAAATGTATTCTGGAAAAAAAAAAACAAACGCCGGTCATAGCTGTTCAGAAATACAGGCTAAGAGTCTAGGGAATTTCCCCCATTGTATAGACGATCACAAGTATTTACTGCATTCTGGAGACAAAGAAAATGGTACTAGATTTTTATTTAAAATTGATTGTGTGTGAAAATACGAAAGAAATGTAGGCATGTTTTTATGCTCAAGAAAACAAACCCTCATTCAAAAGTGGATCAGTAAATAAGCTATGATTTCTGTATAGTAAGAGGAGGTGGAGAAATGATGCAGAAGGAATGGAACTGTAGAGATCATTCTAGAAGAGCAAACACTGAATGACTCCAGAATATCCTGAGATGGTTTCGCTTTTCTGATCAATCTCTATATTTCTTGGAGTGATAGAGTGCATTGGGCCACTCCGTTTCCATGGGGGTGAGAAATAATAAGAGCAACCAGCCTGCTAAGAACTCACGGGCAGATGGTGTACATCCATGTCATGCTGAGCTGAGGGTTGGAAATGCCAACTCTACGGAATGGTTGGAGCCAAATGATTCTTCAAGGTAACCCTGCTTAACACTTACTTGTGTGTCTCCATGTAACCTTACATTGTAAGCAGTGTAGTGAATTTTAAGTGGACAGAGTGGTACTCTGGGCATGGGAAGAACACAGATAAGATGTCTCCAGTGGGGTCTGGTAACTGTCTGTGGAACTCAAACTCTAGTAAATGCGATAGAGATCTAAAGTAGTGGCTCAGTGTTGGCAAGCTGTTTCTTTAAGCCATTAACCAGAAGTCAATCCATTTGTCAAGGAATGGTTGAGTTTTTCATAAGTTTTACCAAGTATTATTTGATAATGAGAGCTAAAGACAGACTTTTCCTTGTCTTTAGCAGTGCTGGGTGCTGATCCCAGGACCTTGTACAAGCCAGGCAAGTGTGTTACCATCGATGTACATCCCTAGCTTGTGTGTTAAAGAAACAGTAACAACCCCCACCCCCAGTTCCTCCTCCTCGTCCTCCTTAAGCTTAGACATCAGGAAACCTCCCTCTCCTCACTCTGAGTTCTCACTTGGGGAGGTGCTCATAGCAGTTCTGGGGAGGTTGAGGTCACTGTATACAAGCTGGAGAGAAGCAACTGAGAAGAATGCAGAGAGGCGCAGGGAAGCCACCAAGTACTTGTGAGGGGACAGATGTGTTACGTGACTCATGGCTTAACCTGAGGGTACACTATCTGGAAATTGTAGTTTAGAATATGTATCAGTTACTCTTTTCATCCTTGAGATAAAATATCTGACTGAGGCAGCTTAAAAAAAGAAGGGTTGACTTTTGCAGCCAAAGACAAGGGGAGAGAGGTGGGGGAGTGGAGACGCTGGTGCCAGCTCACCTTCTCCATTTTGTTCAGTCCAGGTCCCCAGCTACAAATTTAGGGTGGGTCTCCAATCTCAATGAACCTAATCTAGAAACTCCCTCACAGGCATGCACAGAGACTTGTCTCCTAGGTTTTTCTAGCTCTGTCACGTTGTGATGCCAGCTACCACACACTATTTATTATATATCCGTTGTGATACCAGCTACCACACACTATTTATTGTACATCCGATGTGATACCAGCTACCACACACTACTTATTGCATATCTGTTTGTAGAAATTCTTTTGGTTTTCTCCTCTCCTAGAATGAGTTTCTGCTTTTCCCCTTTCTTTTACATTTTCCATTTCTCTCCCCTTTCCTTTTATAATTTCATAACAGCGTGCTTTCCCCAAGTCAACGAGACATTTGTTTACATCAAAATCCTTTTGCCTGGCCCCATGTTCTTCAGCAGTATCAGTTTTGTGAGAGTGAGAACCACTGCTTTAGGGCATACCTTTTCTAGTCCAGTCACCAGGGCAGGAGTGCAAAGGAATCTCTGCACTACTAGGTGTTCCTCACAGTGTTTGTCCAAGCCGTGTTCCCACTCGAAGCTTTCTGGTTGAGTCACACTTCTTCGTATCACTATTTTGATGAGACATGCTATCTCATTGTGGCTGTAATGAATTCTCTTAGGTACTGGTCACACAGGATGCTAGATGCTGACTAACAGTCATGGAGCATATCATTCCCTGGTGTGGTCACTGATGGCTCACACATGAGGATTGCCAGAGAGATTCAAACATCTTAAACCTGATGCTATGACTTGAGGCATTTCCTTAGTATGGGATTGTTCTCTGAGTCATTTATCTCTGATTATTAGAACCTGATGCCATTTGTTACCCATTTCTGTGTTATCCTCACTTGGGACAGTCTTAGTCTCTCCCACCCTGGCTATTTATAAAATGACAATGGAGTCTAAGCCATGGAAGCTAAAGCCAATTTAAATTATGAGGAGAACTGGAGCATGACTATGGCTTTGGCCGACTAGTAATAGCAGGGTTCGGAGGAGGTCCCCCAAACCTATGCTACTGACACTGTGTGTGCCACAGGGTGAGCTCACAGCTGGAACCAGATGTTACTTTGTGCCCAAGTGAGGAACCATGCACAAAGCTTCCACAGACTCTTCCCACTGCCGATGTGGAAATGCCCTTTTCTTTTTAAAGTATTTGTTGTGTTCTGTAAAGTAAGGAGAATTGTACCCTTTAAAAATAAGTCAACAGTAAATTATTTCTACTTGAAGCAGTCGGGAAATTTCTGAATCTGTCTTTTCTTTGGTGTTAAGAAAGTAAGATCTGACCCCAGGGAATGTGTTTTCTGCCCTTTCTGTAATTTCGTTTAGCTGTGCCCTGGTATGCTGCCCAGCACTCCGCCTCCACAACTTTGGCCCTACTTCAGGAAGTTGACAAATTATTGGTTTGTACTATTTCAGGGTTCTCACCATGCCTTGGTCCAGGGAAAGTATGACTGTTGCGGATAATTTCAATTGTAATTGATTTGTAATACTGGTAACTGTATGGAGACAATGGTCACAGCATTTCTACTCTGGAAAGATTGGATTTCATTACTACTAGAAACCCAAGAGCCATCCAGTCTTCATAATGGAAAGTTGCGCCACACAAGAGTGAATTTTCATGCTCAATTGATTTCTTGATGACCAGATTTCTATCACTGCTGTGGCAGAAACTGCCTAAATCTAAGGGATTCACACACACAGATGGTCTCTCCACATTTAGCTCGCTGTTTAGACTGTGTCCTCTTGCATTCTCTTCTTAGGCATTTGCTAGGCCTCACTAGTGAGTCGAAACAGACTACAGGTGTGAACTTTAAAATAATGAATATGTCAGTTTGATTATTAATATTCTTTCTGTTGAGTCTACTTGTGTGTATGTGTGTGTGTGTGTATGTGTGTGTGTGTGTGTGTGTGTGTGTGTGTGTGTGTGTGTGTCTGTACATCTTCATTGTCCAAAGAAGAATGAAAATGGAAGTAGTGGGGTTCATTTTTTTTTTCATTTTGTATCATTTAAATTCCCTGTTTTGGCAGATTAATGACAGGTCTTTTAAGGTAGCATAACTTAAAAAACTATTCCTGAGAATTTTATTCATATGTTTTGATTATATCTACCCAAATGCCACCTTCAGCTCCTCCCCAGCCCTCTCCCAACTTCTTATAACTCACTGTCTTAGTTACTTTTGTATTGCTGTGACAAAATACCATGAAGAAGGCAATGTATAGAAGGCAGCATTCAAGTGAGGGCTTGCTTACAGCTTGAGTGGGTTAGTCCATGACCATCATGGTGGGGAGCATGGCAGCAGGCAGGCGGGCATGGCGCTGGAGTAGTACCTGAGAGCTTCCGTCTGATCCACAAGCACAAATCAGAGAGAGAGAAAGAGAGACAGACAGACAGACAGAGACAAAGAGAGACAGAGACAGAGAGAGACCAAGATTGATCGATCACTGGAAAGAATGAAAGAATGATAGGTATGGGCTTTTGACACCTCAAAGCTCGTCCCCACTGCCATACCTTCTCCAACATGGCCACACTTCCTACTCTTTCCCAAAAAGTTCCACCACCTTCGGACCAAGCATTCGAACGTATGTGCCTGTGGGGCTCTTCTCATTGAAACCACCCTATCCATCCCCTCACTGCTACCTTTGTGTGCACAGGTGTGAGGGTGTGAGGCCATCTGCTGGAGTGAGGCTAAAACACTAGGGGTCACACCCCTGAAGAAAACTGATGCTCCCTGCCCCAGCAGCCTTCAAGTGCCTCAGCTATGGGTGGGACTTTGTGAGCCCCTCCCCCATTTATACTGGCATTTGGACTGGCTTGATGTTGTGAAGCTGTTTTGCAGAGGAGTAGAGCTGCCCTGAGCTCATGAGTACAACAGCTCTGTCATTATCTCTGGCTCTGACAATCTTCCACGCCACGTTCTGTGATGTTCCCTGAGCCTTGGGGAGAGGGGACGGAAGTAGTGTTTTTAAAGACAGATCCTCTCACTTATTAATTGTAAACAAACAAACTAACAAAAAAAACCAACAACAGCAAAAGTCTCTGGTTTTTATTCTCAGGGTGAGCTTTGTAATGAGGCTTCGGATTCTCTTCCTATGTCATAATGCAGACACACAGCTGCCTTTGTGTTCCGGAACTTGGGTCTCCGTAGCTCTTGCTGACCAGGTCGGGTGGTTGTCTCCTCACAGGTCATCCAGGCAGTCTTCTTCGGCATCTGTGTCCTGACTGACCTCTCCACTCTCCTGACCAGAGACAGCGGGAACCAGGAGCAAGAGCGACAGCTTAGGAAGCTCATCTCTCTCCGGGACTGGACGCTGGCTGTGCTGGCCTTTCCTGTCGGGGTTGTGAGTATGATGCAGGATGTACTTAGCACAGAACAAATGTGGGTCCCACTTCAGACTTGTTTAAAAAAAAATGAGGACTGCTGGGTGGTGGTGGCGGCGGCGGCAGCACATACCTTTAATCCCAGCATTGGGAAGCAGAGGCAGGTGGATCTCTGTGATTGAGACCAGCCTGGTCTACAGAGTGAGTTCCAGGACAGCTAAGGTGCTGCACACTACACAGAGGAACTCTGTCTCAAAAAAAAAAAAAAAACCCAAAAAAGATAAAGAAAATGAGAGCCTTTCATAAGGAGTTCCCCTTTCATCTGTACTAGGGATAGAACCCAGGACCTCATGGGCTCTCCCACCTTGAGCTACATGTTGGCCCAAGGTTTCTATGTTTGTTTCCTAATGCTGCCAGTGCTATCGAACTTTTATTCTCTCATGGTCCTGGAGACTGGATGTCTGAGATCAAGGAATCCTGGAGTTGGTTTCTTTGGACGCCTGTCTCTTTGGTTTCAAGAAGGCTGCCTTCACACAGTGTTCTATTTTCTTTCCTCCCTGTCAGTCTGGGTTTCGATCCCCTCTTCATATTAGGAGAACCATTATGTCAGTCAGACTCTCCAGTGGCTGCATTTAACCTCACCCGAGATTCTGGGGGAATTGAGACTTCAGCATATGATATACCTGAGATATACCAGGTGGTGAAATATTTGCCATGCACACATGAGGCTTGCATTTAATCCCCAGTACCTGTGTAAAAAAAACCCAAAACTGGGTGTGGTGGTTTGCACTTGTAATCTTAGTGCTGTGGAGGCAGAGACCTGGGGATCTCCAGGCTTTGTTGGCCAGCCAGAATATCCTACTTGGTGTATTCTAGAACAGGGAGAGACCTTGTCTCAGAAAACAAGGAGTATGGCTTCTGAGGCACAGTACCTGAGATGATCCTCTGGCCTCCACATGCATGGGCACACACACACACACACACACACACACACACATCTCATGCCCTCATACACACGTGTGTGCATACACACACACACACACACACACACACACACACACACACACACACACACACACACAGAGCACATGGTTCAGTCCTTAACATTTTCTTGAGTAGCCTAAACTTAAAATTATATCTGTCCATTGGGTCAACTGTTCTAGTACTTTGGACTTAAGAGGAAATCAACATTAGCTAACACTTCACTCACCCAACTGTGCCATTAGCTGTTATTACTTAAATAATGCTGCTCAATGTTTGCGTCTGTCTGGCTCCATTGATTTTCTCTTTTCAGTTTCATTCCCTCCATAACTCAGCTTCCTTCACAAGGCTGTTAATTTTCCATTGTCTACACACAAACCATGTTTCTTTACAGGCTCCGTGAGACACGATAGACTTATAACTTGTGTGTAGGTGGAAGAATGAGGGAATTTTTGTGTATCTGAGACTGTGAGAGCAAGTTAGAAGTACCTTATGCAACACAGTTTGAGACCTTCCATTTGTTGCCTGATTCTGGCTGGAACAAACAGAAGCTCCAAGGTCATGGCTAGCACACAGACTGAGTCCAAGTTCAGCACAAGAGGCGTCAGAAAGTTCTTTAAAGCCTGCCTTTGGCTCTTTTGCATATGTGCCAAGTCAGTGTTGGCAGAGACCTCCAAGTTCTTAGCACCAAGTTGCCATTTTCCGTGTGCTGAATTATAATTTCGTGGATGACGTAGCCCTGCACTCTTGAGAATAACACAAGGGCCAAAAGAACCTTAGAATCCAATCATAAACCTTCTCCTTCCCTCATCCTTTTCTTTTGATATTCTAAATGCATGAGTTTTCAGATGGAAGCTGTCCAGCAGACCACTGATATCCTCTTGTTTAAATGTTTTGCTATATATATATATATATATATATATATATATATATATATATAATGATTTTCCTTTATACAATTCAAATACTTAGCCATTGTGCTAGCACAGACTTGTAATCAGAGTACTCTGGAGGCTGAGGCAGGAGGATTATTGATTAGGGCCATCCTGGGCTGCATAGTGAAATCTTAGAAGGTAAATTCATCTGACTTGCTATGAATTGCGTCAGAGAAAATTCCCATGGCATAAAATGTAAAGACATGCACTTTCTGCACGAAAGAATCATGCCTTGAAACCCAGGTGTCTGTGTGTGGAATTCTGTCTTGGTTTAGCAGGGAGAGGAACCACACTTCTCATTTCTACCATCCGCGTTTAACCAACGTCACACATTGCACGTTCCCAGCACGAGCGAGCCCCTTTCCAGGTTGGTAAGCTCCTGTCGGTAGGCCATGTCCTTTTCTCCTATGCCTTGGTACCTACTGTGCTTTCTGGTGAACCGGAAGTGATCAGAGCTCTGCAGATGCACAGAACGAATCACTGAAGGGTCAGTGATGGATCAGAGACGTGCAGTTAGCAGTTATGTGGCTCTCTTCTGTCAGGATCAATACCAGATGTCACTGTCTCCAATTCTCCCAGTCTTCTTCCTGGGTCACTTCCCACTTCCATTCTTGTCCCTGAAATTTAAAAATTCCTCTCTAGGCTTTGTTCTCTCCCCTTTTCCCCTTTCCTTGTCTCTCCCCACGCTGATAAAAGTCTTTGTTGGTATTCTCTAAAATCGACATGATGTCCACACTTTCTCCTCTTTCTGCACACTGTCATTGACTTTATATCTGCTCACCCTGCCCCCATCACACGCCTCACTCTAATGCAGGGCAAAAAATCATTTTGAGTTAAAAAAAAAAAAAGCACCTGAGAGATGGATTATTCTAAGAATCCACTAATTTTATTACATAGTATATTTGCAGATGATAGAAATTGAATGCTGTAAGCATTTTAACTCAAAATAAGTCTTCACCCAAACACTTAACTTGTCATTTACTCTCACCTTTCTTTTCCTAAGGTTACTTCTCCAATTTTTTTTCATATTTGCTGCAACCTCAGAGACTCCTCTATCCCTCCATAACTTCCTCCATTTTGCTCATCTACTTCAAAGGGTCTAGAACCCCACTGTGGCTGTGTTCCTGTCACTTAAGATGTCCCTCATGGTTTGCTTTTTATTTCCTTCTTGCAGCAATGAGCCCCTAGGCACAGACTTGTAATCAGAGTACTCTGGAGGCTGAGGCAGGAGGATTATTGATTGGGGCCATCCTGGGCTGCATAGTGAAATCTTGTCTCAGAAGGTAAATTGATCTAACTTGCTATGAATCATGTCAGAGAAAATTCTCATGGCATAAAAATTCTCATGGCATAAAATGTAAAGAGAGCCAGTGACAGTCAATAGAGCTTAGATTTAGCTCATCTGTCAACAAGTGAAGACTCCTGGAAAAGGTAATGTACTTTTTTCTTTGAGTTTACATTGAGGATGCTTAACGGATTCAATTCAGTGCCTTCTTAACACAGTAGGGAGCATGCCAGTCTCATAATCTGAAGGTCCTGAGTTCGAGCCTCAGAAAGCATGCTTAACAGGCCAAGTGATTAGTGTTTGAAGCAAGAGCTTTTACTATTTTGGTTAACACAGAACCTTACTGAGCAAAACATCCTAATGCTATCTCTCTGGCAGGGGAGCACTGGCCTGACCTGAGCCTCCTAAGGTGGGAGGTACAGAGGCTGGACTTTGAACTAGGGTCCCCAGAGGTGTCCTTGGCTCTGTCCCCCTGCTTCCAAGATGACTACCAACCTTCCAGAGTTGTCCTTGCTGCTTCCTACCGGCTTCCTCTGTGTCACACTTTCTGTGTGTCAGTTGGTTATTGGGAAAGCGATATTTTCTTGCTTCAGGTTTTAGAAAAAGAGCATAAAAACAGGGCAGTGAATTGTATGACGTCTGCTCAGACTGTTCTGGAGAAGTTTCAGGGCCAGAGCTTCTCTTGGTCCATGTTTTCTCTGTCTGTCTCTGTCTCTGTCTCCCCCTTCCCCCACTCTCTCTCCTAATACAAAGTACAGGGAAAGACCCACATAGGCTATCTAGGATCTGTAGGTTTTACATTGGTGCTTCCTCCAGGAGCAAGGTTAATTGTGAGCTGACAGTAATTGCTTTATTGGAGCATGATATAATGAAAAAGACTTGGAGATCTTTGGACCTTACACGGGCACCTTCATAGCACCTTTTACCCCAGTGATACAGAAAAATAATGAAATACCCCAATCAAAGATAATTACGGTGAACTTTTATCTGAGCGTGACTTGGAGAAGCCAGGCAGGGTGGCTTGAATGGACAGAACATGTATCATCAATCGCTGTGTCGATTCCCATAAAGAGCAAAGCTGGCCTTGATTAGTGGCACTAATGGCCGGAAACCACCACCACTCCCCAAGCCTCGCGGCTCATTTTGCAGGGATAACCCTCTAGAGCCTGTTCTTCCATGTGCAGTTTATTTCTCAACCCCGTTACCCTTTTAAAGAAGCGTTACAAATAATTCTGTGACATTATGTGGTCTGGAAGCCCTGAAGCTTCTCAGGAGCAGTCCAGGAAAGAATGTCTTTTGTCTCCTCTGAGTTTGTTGACTCTTGTGCTGGCAGATCCCATTGTAGTTGAGAAAGTAGGCATACCCTTTTAACTATAAAAGAAAATAAAAGATCATGAAGAGTCTGAGAATGCCCCTCACCCTAAATGTGTCTCAGACTGCCATCCATGCAAAAGGAACAATTGCATGTTTTCTGTTCATTCAAACCCATGCAGCTCTATTCATCTGCAGCTGCTGAGTGTGAATAGTACCCATAATCAAATCTTACCACATCACCAGTACAGCTTTGTCCTGGTGCTGCCTTGGCTTGCTCCAGTCCAGATGCTGCCCTAACCATCCCAAAGTGAAGATGTGAATGGCCCTCTCTGAGTGGGTTTGTGGAGGCCCTGGAGGTTTGGGTCTGTTCTATCCTGGGATGGGCATCCGGATAGTTTGTGAGAGCAAACCCAAATGTGCGTACATGAGTTCGCCTGGAATTTGTCCTTCTTACTAAATTTAGTCTCAAAGCTATTTGCCAAGTTACCATTTCTGCTGTTATAAT